GATCTAAGGATAAGAAAGAAGAAAGGGATTGTGTGTAAGTTAGATCTAGAGAAAGCTTATGACACGGTAGATTGGTCATTCTTAATGCAAGTGATGGACTTTTTTGGCTTTGGGGTAAAATGGTGCAAATGGATCTTGGGATGTATTGAGACCGGCCATTACTCAATCCTAGTGAATGGGTCTGTAGTGGATCATTTTCCAGCTACCAGGGGAATTAGAAAGGGACCCCCTTTCCCCATTTCTCTTTACTTCGATAGCATAAGTGTTGGGGAAACTAATAGAGAGGGCAGATTCGAGGAACTTAGTGAGGGGGTGGAGGGTTGGAAGAGACAAGTTGCTTATCACACATCTTCAGTTTGTTGATGACAATTTTATTCTGTGAAGGGGAGGATGTGAGGTAAGTCAGAAATTTAAAGAGAGTAGTGCAATTATTTGAAAAATTGTCAAATTTGAAATTCATCAAAAAAATGTCAAATTTAAAGGTTAATTTTGATAAGAGCTGTGTGGTAGAGGTGAATATGAAAGGAGAAAAGAGGGATAGGGCTGAAATTTTGGAATGTGAGATGTCGCAGTGGCCTATGATTTACTTGGGCTGAAATTTTGGGATGTGAGATGCCACAGTGAACATTAACGGGGACTTGCTCCTTAGTCCACCTAGAAAAGGGAGTTAGGATCTGTTATTCGAATTGGTATTTGCTCCTCACACCTACCTTACAGCCATATCTCAGTGTATTGGGAACATCTCCCATGAGTAATAACATACAAGTACGAGAGATGTTCTCGATGTGCAGCTGGAACATGGTATGAGATTGGTGTTAAGGGTGGGTTCGAGCCGAGTCGAGCTGAATACTTGGCTATTCGAGCTCAGCTTGCAGAAAGTGTTAGGCTTGAGCTTGAGCTTGATTCGATTCAAAAGCTCATAAGTTTGAACTCAACTTGGCTCGAGCTCGACTGCAAGCCAAGCTTTTTCTAAAAAATAAAAACTATATATAAAAAAGTAATTTTTTATTTTACATACAAAAAAATTAAGAATTATAAAAATTAGACATAAAAAATTAAAATTTTATTATATATAATATATGTATATAAAATAAAAATTATATATTTATTTATTATATTAGGCTCGTGAGCTTCACTAGCCTCGAGCTCGGTTTAAATCGAGTCGTGGCCACCCCTAGTTGGTGTAAGGAGTGTTTTGTGAGGAGCAGATCTGGACTCTTGTTTTTCATAGAGCATTCCTTACACCAACCTCATATCCTAACTGCACATCCACATCCGGTTGTATGATGTTAACCATGAGGAGACATTCAAATCTTCAATGCACATACACCACACACCGACTTCACATCATGTTCACACCAACTTCACACCGACCTCACATCATGTTCACACCAACTTCACGTCACATCGCACTATACCATAAGAATATCTCCTCACGCCAACTTCATCAATAAAATGCCTTCTAATGCAAATATATCTTATATTATTTATATTATATCTGGAAGTTCAAACTTCAAGCATAAGACGTAAGTGCAATTTCAGAATTAAGATTGACAAAATAGAAATTAAATTTTGCTTATATAAACAAAATATTTTAAAGCATTTGCTTTAATTATATTTCTAGAAACTTTTTTAAATCAGGGACTTGCTAATTACATTGGATGGGTTTGGGTTAAGTTTAGAAGGAACCTAGCTTAGATCCAACTTTAAGGGTTCTCTCACCACAAAGCTTGCATAGACATCCTTGTCTCATTTTTAGACGTGGTTATCTATTTTTAAATTAAATTGTTAAAAAAATATAAAGTCATAACAAACCCTTTAATGTCTTAATTTTCTTTAATAAAATCTATCATTTACTTCTCTAACAAGATCGTTCTTTTGCACAAAAAGAAAATAAAATCTTAAAACTCTTTCTTCTCAACCCCAATAATGTTTGTTACATCTCATAGGGAAAAGCAAGATGCTAAGTTGGCGTGGGAATCTTTCCTACAATTTCAAAAGTTGAGCTTGGTTGTTATTCTAGATTCTGTATGGACTACTGGCCTGGGAGTCAGGTTTCTGAAATGGGCCTACTTTTCCCTAAAATCTATTCTTTCCACTTAAAATATAAATAAGGTGAATTAGGTCAAGTTAAGAGCCAACCCAAAATTACTCTAGACATGACCTTGGACCCAAAATGACATCAAAACCCAAAACCAAGATTCTATTCAACCCGGTTTACTTGCTACTTTGCTAGTATAACCAAGTGGGAGACTGGAATTTTTCCTCATAGAGCATGCCTCACATCAACCTCACAGCATATTGAAGGCGTGCAACTGAGAACATCTCCCTACTTTCAATGTTATCATTCATGGGAAGATATTCCCGGTGCACAGCTGTGATGCGCTGATGTTGGTATGAGGGAGACCAGATCTGTTCCTCACATGCACATCCTATCATGCATTGGGAACATCTCCTGTATTTATTAGTTATTATTCATGGGAGATGTTCCCAATGCATGGTGGATGTGCCTGTGAGGCACCCATTTGTGAGGAGCAGATCCCATCACGGTATGAGACGTGCTCTGTAAGGAAAAAATCCAAATTCAATAAATTTGCACACTTATGTTGGGAGTTTGGACTGCGTATTTGCTCCCAACAGAAAGCTCTTTATCATCCTCCCACAGCATGTTGCAGTCGAGATCAGCCTCAGTCTGTGCAAGGCTCGTTCTAACACTGCTCCAACAGCCTTCCCAAGTCTCCGTACTGCTGAGACAGTTTCTGGGCTGGGCACATTTCTGTGCTTTGGTATTTAGTAAAATTAAATTAATATATAATTAGTACCCATTCTCATGGTAACGTCGAATTCACGGAAATCCTCTCAGGCTGTTGGCCTCTAGGCTCTAATGGGATGATATTCTCAGGAATGGCTATAATGGTTGTTGGAACGGGTTTTGGACCGACTGAATCCGGTTCGGGAATATCTGATCTTTGTATGTTTTTCATGGGGAAATATTTTCAATGCACGGCTGTAAGGGACTGGGACTGTAAGACGGTCTTATGGGACCACATCCGATTTCCCATGAAGTTGGGAACGTAGGACATTTCTACCGAAGTCGTTATCCGCAATCTAAATATTTATTGCGACAGCCAACAGACCGTCACGTGCCAAGCCGCTGGTTCAGGCCCAAGAAACTTTCTTTTAAGGTCATCACTCTGCAACTGCCGGCCTCCCGGTTCAGTCCCAAGAAACTTTCTTTTAAAAGGTCATTACTCTGCAACTACCAGCCTGCCACCAACCACACTCTCGTTCAATTCCATCAGCCATGGCGACCGCGAACGACAACGGAGAGACGATCTCCAAGGAAGTGTCTCGCAGCGATTTTCCTCCCGATTTCGTCTTCGGTGTGGCGACATCTGCTTATCAGGTACCGCTGAGTCGCTGACGAGGATCTATTCCACTGTTTCTCTGTTTCGCTGTACTCCACTCAGCTCAATCAGGCTTAATTCCAACTATTTGGAGTTGCCTACACGAATCCTATCCTGATATTGTGTTCTATCTGTCTGTTTCGATCTCATTTCTGCAATTATGAGCTCTGAAAGTCGTCACATTCTTCTCCTGTGGTTGTAACCGTTGGAGCTCCATTCCGTTTTTGGTTGCTTCAAGTCCAAATTTGATCACGTTTAAAGCTTCGGTTTGATCTTTGAGGTCTTCGATTCTTTATACCAATTGATCTTCTTTAGTAACGTTTCATTTTTCTTTTTCTCAATTCTTAGCTTATTTTTCATAGCATATTTCATGTGTTGATAATTAATTTTCAATTTGTGCGGTTTAATTTCTTTGTTCGCTGTTTCTACATTTATACCGAGGCTATGTTTGCGTTCAATCTATGGGGAAATGTCTGTGTTGATCGCGTAATAGGCGTTTCTTCGGGTCTGCTAAAGCTCTGTTTGCCTTCTTTTTAAATTAGCAACAGGAAGTTGATCTTCTCCATAGTTCCTGTGTTCATGATTGTTAGGATAGTGTATCTGTTTTTCTACGGGTTGTTTTTCGGAGATTACTTTCATGTAAAACCAACTGATCGTGTCTCAGTTGGTAGGATCTCTGACTCGTCGGAGTAGAGATCTGGGATCAAACCCCACTACCACCAGGGTTGGGG